ACCTTAAAGTCTGAACCTGGCCTGGACCTAGCGCATACAAGCTTCATGGTGTCAAGCTGGGTGGGGAGTGTTTAGTATCATTCCTCCATGTGTCTGATTTTCCTCAGGCTCCTGAGTAGTTTATGTAGCTGGGTACACCTGTTTTTAAACTGCAGCTGGTACCGGGGCTACAGATTGCCAAGACTGTTGTTGATGAAGCTGCTATTTTGCGATACAGCTGGGTGCAGCACATTCCAGGGAAAATACACCCCTCCTCTGAGAGATTTTACATCTACTATTTACCTGTACTGCATCTGTCAACAGCCCAAGACTTCTTTGTGTGTAGAGTACTGAACAAATGACAGTTGTTTGTTTTGCTGGACTTAATCAGTGTTAAATTGAAAATACAGGGTTGCTTTTGGCATAGAGAAAAAAATGGAATCCAACAGGTACCCACAGTGCTCAGTGTTTCACAGTATTGGGCCCATCATGTTCAAAATTGCTCACACCAGCGCTGTCATACAAGTCAAACAGGATTTGCACCTGAATTTGTAAGATGAGACTGTGGCAGAAGTGAACAATTTCCTTGATAATTTAGAAGGTAAAGTGAATGCTGTCTAGAATTTTCCCTCTGCTTTGTCCAACTAAAAAGTAAGAGGTGAACCATTCAAATCCAAAAGTCCCCCAAAACAAAAGTATGTTCTAAGCTGTCTCTGATTGGTATTAGTGATGCAATAATAAACATGAGCTCCACAAATAGAAAAGGTTCCTTTGGTCCACTTCACACTGCCAGTTGGCCCTAATTAACCACTATCAAAGATGTTTGTTAATAAGATCAATCAATATTTATGTTTGACTCAGAAATAGCATCACCAGTGCTAAGTCCTATATACACTGGTATAAGTTAACCCTCCAAACACAGCTAAAATAGGTATTGTCATCTCAATTTTACAGGCAGAACAATAAAGATTAAAATTGCATATCTGGTGGGACTCCATTGAACTGCAACATAGATGACTTGGCTGTACTCAGTTTCCCCAGGTGTCTTAAGGAGACCATTTTTGATCGAAGCATAGTTCAGGAATGTCTGAATCCTTGTCGTGGGCTGAGAGCACCAGGTTACCTCATTCTGCTTTTTATGTACAGTAATATTTATGCAAATACTACAGAACTATGCAAATAATCCCTCCAAAATTGATTGGATGACTCACATGAATAAGTTCTAAATTACATTTTTTGCTCTATCCTGGCCTCGATTTTTAGATGCTTGTTAATGACTGCAGCACAAATTAATTATTAGAATATTGATATTTGCTTTGAATCCACTCTGCCCTTATGAGAATACAAAGTCTCATCCTGTGGAAATGAATTTGAATAACAATGAAACTATTCACAGAAGTAAAGTCCTTCACATATAGAAGGACTGAGGGCAAAAGTAAAAGGACTAAGCCCATACCATAATATTTTTAAAGGGTTGTACCTGACACTGCCATAAGTCCAATGCTTGTTCTTTTATGAAATTCCAAGGTGCTGCAATATATGGATTTAACCACCAGGAGGTGTAGGCTTCCATGTATACCAGCCTGTTGGACAGGAAGCACCAGGGACTTAACATAAACAACGGCTTCACGGTCCATTATAATCTTCCTGATACTAGCTAACCCCTGTACATCACTGATCATAATGACCCTATTTTACAAGATTGTATTCCATCTGCTATGTCTGCTTCTGTCTCAGAGGCCTGAGGAAAGGTATTGTGATCTCCAAAAGTCTGCCTATGTCTATAATCAATCATGCAGTTGGTCCAATAAAAGATATCACCCACAAGAATCCTTGCCTTTCACATTCAGTAATTATGACATTAAGTAATAAATTTACCCTGCAGATATTGCTAAGTAGTTGACATTAAACCATTTTTACTGGGGGATAGCTAATGATTGCCCTCTGTCCCAGCATAAAGGGGTGTTTGAGACTGCCTTGCAACCACAGAAACAAAAACTACAGGACTTCAAAGCTGACCAAAAATCAGTCTTACTGACCTTGCCTAGATTTTACAGTAAACACCACAAAGCCTTGGTTTTAAATGTTAAAGTACCACTCCGCGCTGCCTTCTGCTGTGTGTTAGCAAGTTACAGTAAAACTTCAGGAAGGTATGAAAGACTTATCTTGAACAATGCCTGTCTGCCCAAGGGTTTTGACACCATGTCTTCTCAAGGGTTTTGACATGGGTTAGTTAATGCAGGTTACCTTAACATAGGTTATAAATACAACTGCTTTGTCCTTCTTAGAATTTTAGGTTAAGTTAATGAACATAGGTTTGTTTAATACAGGTTAAAATACACCTTTTTTCTGAGTAAGGATAAGATAACAGTGTTGTTACATGTTACCCATAGGCTATACTAAGCGTTGGGGATTGTTGAGCAGTGTGAATGTCAGAATGAGTTTAGAGTGACTGTGACCATTAAGGTTTAATGCCATCTCTGACCTGCACAACTGTTGCCACTAGAGGTCTGGCAAGCAGGGGTGTGCCTATGAGCCACATTCTCCTGCTCCTGTTTGGCAGCAAGC